CTGAAATTTCCTGTATGCTGAGATGTACGGCTTTCTACTGCTTCATCGTTTGTCTGTGATTCCCCAACAGTCTTAGCTGACAAATGTACATATTTTGATCTCTAACAAGACTGTTCTAGCTCATCAATCTTTCTTTTCAAAAAATGATTAGCTCTTCATACTTCTTTAGATCAACTTTAGAGTTCACCTGCCAAATCCCAAATGCATGGCCCATCCTCCTCCTTTGGGAGTTAGAAACAACATTAAATTTATAGAAGGTAAGTGGACATTTTTACTCAGATCTAATGTAAAATGTCTACCATTTTATTCAAGCCTTTTCCATCAGAAAAAAATTTTTCCTATCAGTGTCTGCTACATTCCTTGTTTGGCTTATTTTAACATAAATATAAATGTAAAATTTAATATAAATATATGAATTTATATAATATACATAATATATATTTATATACATATACATGCACGCATATGTATTTTATTTTCATGTCTTATTGGCAAGGATTGGCTCAAGTGTGACAGTAAGTAACCTAGTTTTTGTTACAGTTTTACTCTCTAAAACAATATGTTTTTAGTATTTGACACATGGTTTTTATGGGACAAGGAAATTTCATTCTAGTTCTAATTTGCTGTCATTATTAAGAATGGCTGTTAAATTTTATTTAATATATTTTCAGTAAAAATTGAGAGGCTCATATAATTTTTTTTCAGTCATTTCATACTTTAAGTTTCTTTCCATGTTTGCTATTTTTACAGGAAGTAATTTCAATTATATTTTCAGTTCTAATGGCATAAAGTTGTATGCAACAATTTTGTAATTTTAAAATGATTTCTATTTTTATGGGTGCACCTTCCTTTCTGTGTATCTAAAGAAAACCAATGTCCCAGCTCAGCAGTCAGGCAGAGGCAGAGCGGAAGCACGCGCCACAGACTGAGACTGTGCGCTGCACACATGGAACTGACTTTACTCAGTCCACTGATGCAAATGCTCAGCTCATCTGCAAACGCCTCACAGACACACCAGCAATAATGTTTAACCAGACAGCCTGAGCATCTCTTAGCCCAGTCAAGCTGATACATAAATTAACCATCACATAGCTGGCTAATGTGAAATTCAATAACCTAGTTCAATACTCTCTCAGATTCCATTAAACATGCAGGGCATTCTAAAATTCTGGATTAACATTTCTGAGAGCATTCCTACTGCTCAGAGAATGAGGTTATTAAGGGGGAAAGGCAGAAAGAAAGCATCAAATTGTGAAGTCAGGTGGTAAATGACTAAGCAGTGCTCTTTATCATAAAGGACAGCCTTTGAGGTCTACTCATATAGGCATAAAAGCATATAGGGCATGTACCCAGATAGGCAACTATTACCTACTGCTGATACACTAAGTTCAATATAGACAGCTGCTACCTACTGCTAATACACCACCTTAGGGTACGTTCAGTCTTCATTTATTTAACATGAGATTTGATTTTACAGATTCCAAGTGTTTATGGTCAAATGGGATAAGTAAGCAAGAGTGAGCAAGGTATGACGGAATTGTAGAGGAGATTTAGGAGACTAGCAGAGAGCTGGGAATGCCTGGGTTTCAGAATTGAACAATTAGAAGTTAAGGCAATTGTAGGATGCCTACTCATGTAACAAATTATGAGTATAGCCTCACTATGATCTGAGAGTGTGTGTGTGTCTGTGTGTATACATCTTCCGTCCCTCCCCACCCCCACACATGAAACTTGAACGAGGTAAGATTATAGTTCCACAGATAACACAGTCACTTGTATTATATTTAAGGTGGCATTTATGGATATTTGCAGACATGCTGCCATCTACCACCCATCAGTGACTCATAACATTCATGTAGCAGGCCCAGCACTTGGAAAATGAAATGGAATAAAAATCAGTGTGGTGCCTGCGGTGAAAGTAGATTTTGCTTTGAGAAGGTTTTGTTTCTGTTAAATATATACAAGTGGTGGGTCATTGCTGTAGGCTAAAAATAAAATCCTAAGGCCCCAGCAACAAGATGAGTCCCCTCTTGGCCAAAGGGGCCCTAGGAAAACCTTAGCAATGGAATTCCCCGCCACGATGAGAAGACGGAGGGGACCCCCCTCATTATGCCTGCTCCTTGCTGGAGCTTCAGCCCAAGTGACCAGCATTCGTGTTAAAAGAGGTGATAAGGCCTGACTACACAGACTGTGGACATAAGAAACCAACGTATAAACAAGGCTAAGTCCATGCCTGGCAAGGGACAGTCACGCCGCAGGCCATCAGTCTTGCTACACAGCACGCTCAACTTAGACGTTCCCTTCTGCTGACTCCAGTATTTAGAGCTCTATTCCTTTAACCAACTGCAAATCTCTGAATCCACCTATAATCTGTAAGCTCCCACTTTAATATATCACGCTTTTCAGACCAAACCAACGTATAACTTCCATGTACTGATTTCCGTCTTTGCCAGTAACTCCCACCTCCCTAAAATGTATAAAAGCAAACTGTAATCCGACTGCCCAGGGCGCACCTTCCCAGGACTCCATGAGAGGGGTTTCCTGGCCTGCAGTCACTCATATCAGCTCAGAATAAACTTCTTTAAAATACCTTGCAGAGTTTGGTTTTTCTGTTAACACTGTATAGAAGATATTTCTTATTGTGGCTGAGGAAAAGTTGGAAAGCCACTGTGGCTCTTGCCTATAATCCCAGCTAACTGGGAGGCTGAGGTGGGAGGTTCACTTGAGCCCAGGAATTTGAGACCAGCCTGGGCAATATAATGAAACCCTGTCTCTAAATTAAAGTTAAAAATAATGTGTACAGTTTGCTCTCAACATATACCTCCCCTACCACCCCTGTAAAAAATAAAACATCAGTTTTGCTTATCAGTTTCTTCATAGATATTCAGCTTAAGTGAATTTGCTATTGAAATCTGAGATTATCTACAAAAGCCCCAAAGGAAAAATTACATTTGTAATATATAAGCTAGAATATCATTCATACTTCTGTTCTTCTTGATCTCTTGAATGGCATTGTTTAAACATACAATAGAGGTTTAGAGAAGACCAAAGAAATTGGAAGAAAGCTTAAACTAGGCTTTGAAAAGCTGGCACATTTGAAGCAAGGCAGGGGGAACCAGTAGGAATGGGCAGGACGTGCAGGCGGAGTGTGAGAATGCTCAGAGCAGATGCAGGGGTCAGAGGAGGGTGTGCAGAGTGAAGAGGGCTCAGGATGAGGGGGCAGCAGACAAGATGAACCAGGGATTAAAACAGGACTTGTGGGGAGGTGGGATGGCCCCAGAGCTGCGGACCGGATGTCGGGTGGGACAGAGCTACAGATCTGCCTGGTCTGCAGAACAGACTGAATTAGAAACGGGAGCCCGCTTGATCAGGTCGCCCTGCCCTGATTGCTCCTGGTCACTTGCTTTTTCTTATTTTTCTTTTCCTTTTTCCATGTAGCTGAAGGCTGTGGTGTCTGAACACCTGAGCACTGAGCCTGAAACGTGCCCTTCACTGGCTACTTTACAGATAACACAGGCACATGGTAACAGTCACTTTGCTTGTTTCCAGCAACCTGGGCCAGTTCTCAGTGGGCTGAGACTACCTACACTCTCAGTGGGCCTCTAGCTTCAAAAGTTATTATAAGATGATGTATGCACACGAAAAGTATTTATATGCATAAGGTAAAAAATGACTATCAAATCTGTAATCAAAATTTTGTGAGAGGTAACAACAAACTTCTGATCAAAGAAACAACATACTATAACATTAGAAATTACTAAGAGTCACTCGGAGAATAAGACTGACTGTCAGCGACTGAAGATAAAAAACTGGGACGAATGTAAGGCAGGATGAAGCAATTGCGCACCGTGGTCCTTTACCAAACTGAGAATCGACGCCCGAGATGAGCGAACTCTGAAGACACGGCTCTCCGGAAGAACAAACTGGCCAAACACGCAGTAACTCACCTCCATGCTCTAGGAAATGAGTTAACACTGATAAGAAATATATGGGCCGGGTGCGGTGGCTCAAGCCTGTAATCCCAGCACTTTGGGAGGCCGAGGCAAGTGGATCACGAGGTCAAGAGATCGAGACCATCCTGGTCAACATGGTGAAACCCTGTCTCTACTAAAAATACAAAACATTAGCTGGGCATGGTGGCGCGTGCCTGTAATCCCAGCTACTCAGGAGGCTGAGGCAGGAGAATTGCCTGAACCCAGGAAGCGGAGGTTGCGGTGAGCCGAGATCGCGCCATTGCACTCCAGCCTGGGTAACATGAGTGAAACTCCGTCTCAAAAAAAAAAAAGAAATACAAAATTTCCAGCACTCACTGTGTGCTAGGCTGTTATAAATGCCATGGCTCTTCTCAGGCCAACACTGCCAGGAAGAAGTGATGGCTCTCCGATGGCAGCCTTGGAGCCGCCGCTGTTCGCCTGAAGCTGCAGGCTGATGGATAGAACTGTCCATTTTGTATGGGGACAAGGAGTGGGAACTGTTAAAGAAGCCCCACAAAAATAAAAATAGAACATAAATAGTGGTGAAGAGGAAGGGCAGACATGGAGTTAGCACTAAAGCTCATTTTGATGACCCCACAGGTACTCAACACAGTGGCAGCATGTGGGGGCTTTATTTTTATAGGTGGCTTCCATTTTCATTACTGTGAGATGTACAGCAGATGTCTTCATTTATGTATGTCCCAGGAGACTGGAAAAATTAAGCTGGTTTCAGTCTTGTGTCCGAAGAGATAAGTTTATTTAAACAATTGGCACAAAATGGCCAAATGGAAGTTGCTTAGATTTACCCTAATGATTTTTCTTTATGAAAAGAAAATCTAAAAGTATTTTACTGTCTAGGTTGGAAAGCAGATTTAAGTTAACAGGATTTAAGCAGCATCTCAACCATTTTTAAAAAGGCCTCAAAGTGAAGTGAGTCTCCAAGTTTTACCGCCTCTGTTAGCACTCCTGACCCTAAGTGAATCACCCGCAGAGACCGCAACTGGAGAAGTAATGATCTCTACCTACCTTTTTTTCAAAGAATTTTTTTCTTAACTTGGCATCTGTGGGAGGTACTGTTTTCCTCAGGTTTTGGTACCACTTTCTAACAACGTATCCTCTCCAACAGGCTTGGATTCTAAAACACAGATATTTGAAAATGACATTTATGATGACCCTATGTCTACCAACACTTCATAGTTGTTATAAGCCTGTGCAGTACAAGGCCCCAGGGAAATTATGGCGGCCGAGATAAAATGCCACTACTAAAAACAATTACTCGTCATAGCTTGATCTCTGTGTCTGCTTAGTGCCACGTGGGCCTGGCATCCTCACCTGGTGGCACACTTTATCCTGAACAGGCGGGCCCCATCATGTATCACTCGGGTTTCATACTGGTTCTTTCTACAGAGAGGACAGGTTTTCTTATTTGTGAACTTTTCAAAAGCCTGAAGACATGCCTGAGGAAAAACATTTCACTCAAAATTTTGTAAGTAATTACTTATAAACAATATTTTTACTTCCAACGTTAGTGTTCTAATTATAGTGTTCTTTTCTCTCTTAACTATGAGACTTACTCAAATTTACGTTATAAAGTGAGGAAATTTCATCAGACGTTACTACCTTCCTCATGAAACCTGTTCCAAAAATGATTTTTTTTACAAGAATATACATGCAGAGACATCAAAAACTTCTAAAATGAACTAGCACAAAGGTGACTCGCGCATGCGTATGAGACCACATGCAGATCGATCATGTGAATTCAGCTGTCACTTTGATGTGCATCACTGACAACAATCTGTTAAGTAAACATTTGTGGTTCTTTTGTCACAAAACTCATGATTTTCAGAACAGGATGAGCTGTACTGTAGCCTACAGTCATGTTTCTTTAGCCATAAATGGTGGTGATGAATAAAGTAAATGGCTCTTCCTAGGAGCCTTTAACGAGTCTGGCTTCTCTGCACTGCCAGAGCGTCATGTGGTGCACGAGCAGGCGTGAGGGGCTGACTTACTCTGTGGAACACATGGGAACATGAAAGCAGCACCTGTTCATGAGGAAACAAAAAGACGTTTGAAGTTTAACAAAAGAGAAGCAGCATGAATGCAACAGTTAAAGAAAAATTCTGAATGCTTCAAAGGTAAGCTGTATTATTTCTTTAAAAATTAAAAAAGCAAATAATTCTGACATTATTGTTTAGCACCAAAAAAGTATGTACTCTAAATAAAATTAACAATCCGAAATATCAAATAAACACATGAAGTTTGATATTAAACTATTAAAATGAGTGTATACTTAAGAGCAAAGCAATGACAAAATGAATGATTTCCCCAGGTGCTTTGAGTGACTGCAAACTAGAGGGGTAAGGAGCGGGGCCAGTCCTGTGGGGCCAGGGAGGAGACCAGGGAAACGCTAAGTAAATACAATTTAGGTCTTTGTTCAGCTCAGTTATGCCCCTCAATTTTTTTTTAAACTACAGCTCTACTTAGACATAATTCTGACAGTCCTAAATTTAAATAGCATCAAGTCATGGAGACATAGGAGTCATTTTTTCTTTTTCAAATACAGAGAAAGTATGCTCTCAAGAAAACGTCACCTTTCTCTGACCCAGATTCCCCAACAGTGACATTCTGGGCTGTGACAAAAGACCGAAGCTTAGACCAACTGAAGAAGGCAGTGCGTACTTAGTGGGAGGGATGGAGCCACCAGCCAGGCTCTGCTTCCCCTGGGGAGGGACCACTGTCAGCAATGGGAAGGAAAGGCGGGGAACCTTGTGAGATTAAGCAAAGCAGTGGGGGCAGGCAAAGGGTTTTCCCTTTTTGTCGAGAATCTGACTTGGGTGACAGTCTGTGACACTCCTGGGTGAGGTTTCAATCTCAGATGGTCCAGGATGCCTGCTGTGGGGACAACTTAATAGTTTTTAAAGTGAATCCCACCTGCCTTCACTAAATTTATGCTTTGTTTCTTAAATGGAAGAAACAGAAATAAGTAGAACTCAGAAAGTTCTAAAACCTTTTCTTGAAACATTGCCAAGAGTTAAGTCTGAACTGAATAAACTCAGTAATATGGGTCCTTTTTTATTACCACCATTTAATACCAATCTTTTCTGTACTTAATTCATTCTTTACAGAATAATTTTCAGTGTCTTATCAACATATGTTCTATCTATATTGAGTAACATTATCCTTCAGTATATTGTTATATTTTTAAAATGTCCACAAATATTTGTTACTGGCAGACATTCTCTGATGTAACAGAAATCAATGACTAAGTAAATTGTTTTTATTTCCTCATCTGTTAAATAGGCAGAATGCTTACTATATGAAATTAATTGAAGGTCTTCTGAAATCATTAAATATTGGGAAAATGCCAACTATTGTTTATAACTAAGGAAAAATCTGAACACAGAAATGATCATTAGAAATGCAAAATATACAGGATAGATCTTATATCAAAACCAAATAAAAATAATAGAATTTAGTGGTAAATTTCTAAAAAACAGAAAGAAATGTTGGGCAGGGTCACCCTGATCCCTGTAAGATGCGAACTTTCAGTTTTCATTCTTCATGCAGACACTCCAGGCTCAGTATTTTAGTGTAAGAAAGAGGTTGCTTAGCCAGAAAGACGCCCTCTGGCCTTCTTCACTGTTTTGCTAAAGTACTAAATTATCCTAGGCAATCTGTGGATTCAGGGCTAAAATCTGTCCAAAATACCCAACTTTTATGTATGTAATATTAGGTCCTGACAGAGAACTAGAATATAGTCAGTATATCTAAAGTAACTTATGAATTCTAATTAGTAAATACAAGTGTACTGTTGTGAGCTTTCTCGCTGATGAAATTTACGCAAACTCAAGGAAGTTTCAGAGTTCACTTGCCTGGGTAGTAATAAGACTGGGTTCCTAGGCTACGAACTCCAAGGCTAATTTTAACTGTATTTGCTGTGTTTTCTCAGCAAATCTCTGAGGGCCTGCTCTGCAGGAAGCATAATGCCACACCCCGTGGGAAATTGGTACAGGGCAACCATGAATGTGCACGTGCACACACACCCCCCCACACACACTGCTGTTAAATCTAAGTGTCCGCAACTTCAGGAGACAACGGTTTAGTTAGGCAGACAGAGTATGTACAGGAAAAACCCTATATGCATTCTCTCTCTGTACATGTGTATTATCTGTTAACTCAGGGTAGCATCATCCATCTTAATATGGTAAAGTTTCATGAAGTCATTAAAAGATTTTACTTAAAGATTCTCTCACAAATTCTTTGAAGACATTCAAGCAGTTTTTTTTGTTGTTCTTTTCTGACTCAAATCACAAACAACTTAAGAATTCCTCTGCTTTCTTCCAGCGCTGGGACACAGCTGCTCCTGGGGAGCCCCCCAGTTATCTGCCCAGCCGCTGGGGCCCGCTGAAGGGAAACATTCCTTTTGTACGAATGTTAGTATTTGAGAATACCAGTCAGTAAACAAACAGAACTATTTAATGAGGGTGTTTAGCTCTTCTTCACACACTTTAATTAATGTAAAAAGAAATGGAAGTGTGTGAGGCTCACACCGGAGGGTGAAACACAAAAAGGAAGCCTGGAATCTCAGGCTCCAGCTCCGGGCCTGGTTCCTAGGAAACAGCCCACGAGCTCCCTAGCTTCCCCTCGCACGCTGAACACCTGGGGACGAAGCTCGAAATCTTCTTTACAGATGGGGCACGGCTGCACGGAGTCCCCTTGCAGGAGGGACCGCTGTTTCACCTTCTCCCACTCATCTGATGACAGCGGAGGTGGTGGAGGCCCAATGAGGCCCAGCTTCTGTGCTAAAGTAAGACAACACAGGACAGGGGTGAGAGTGTCTTTTAGAATATGGCAGCCTCCTATAATTGTAATGGCAAACAAATATTAAAGAAATACATACAGATCACATACTTTATTTCACAACAGAGGTTGTCCCTTGGTATCCCCAGGGAGTGTGCTCCGGGACGCCCCAGGGATGCTCAAGTCCCTGATATAGGATGGCGTGGCATTTGCATACAACCCATGCATATCCTCCTGTATACTGTCAGTCACCCCAGTTACTCATCATTCCTAATGCAAGTGCTATGTAAATAGCTGTCATACTATATTGTTTTAAAATTTGTTATTTTTCTATTGTTGTAATATTATCTTTTATTAATTTATTAAAATTTTGATCTGTGGCTGGTTTAATCTGTGGATGCAAAACCCACAGATACAAATGGTGGCCTGTATATAGGATGCCATTTTCCTATGAGGGCAGAAAAGTCAGTGCTAGTAATACCTTACGTTTTCAATATGATTATTTTTTATTTACACAGAATTTCCCATATCTTAATTTCATTCTCACGATAATTCAATAAGGCAAGCAGGAGTGATATCCAATTTTATGAAAGAAAAACTGAGGAATACTCATTTTTACACATATTGGCCCAAGGTTCTCCCAGTTCTCACCTGCCTCAGCCCGCAGCCTTAGGCACTGTCTCCTCCAGCTCACCTTCCTCTGCCACCAGCGGCCTTTACATCAATCCTGCACCTCTCCTGCTAAAAACTTCCTATGATGGATCATTACTGTCAGAATAAAGTTCTTATTTCAATAACACGTGGGTACCCACCACATGCTGACTTGGCATGGAGCAGGTAGTGTGGTGGGAAACACTCACTTTGAAAAAGCAACTGCAACATCCTCAGGCAAATGCTGGAAGTGAAGTGTCACCTTCCACCACCTCCCCACACCCCCAAGGAGGGTTAATGCATAAAAAAGCATCGACCTACAAGGACGTCTTCAGAAACAGAAGACAAAATGTTACATCTAGGAAACAGGACAGGAAGCTGTAAAGGGATACTCTGAGTACAGAAGAGCTCCTGGGCTTTTAGAGTAGAAATGTAATGTCAACTGAAAGGCTGGAAGAGAAAGCTAAGATACAGTCATGAGTTAACAACAGGCGATTGTTGTTAAGAAATGTGCCATTAGGCGATTTCGTCATCTTGCTAACACTGCAGCGTAGGTACACGCACAGCTGGTACAGCCCACCACACACCTAAGCTGCATGGTACAGCTGACTGCTCTAGGCTACACACCTGCACAGCATGTCACTGTATTGAATACTGCAGGCAACTAATACAATGGTAAGGATTTGTGCATCCAAACACAGAAAAGGTACAGTGAAAAATATGTATAAAAGATTAAAAATGGTGTACCCGTGTAGGGCACCTACCATGAATGGAGCTTGCAGCTTGAAAGTTGCTCTGGGTGAGTCAGTGAGTAGCTGCTGAGGGAGTGTGAAGGCCTAGGACATGACTGTACGGCACTGTAGACTTTACAGTCTACACTTAGGCTACACTACATTTGTAAACATGTATTTTCTTCAACAATAAAGTTAGCTTACTATAACTTTACTTTCTAAACTTCTAAATTTTTTAACTTTTGGACTCCTTTGCAATACCATTTAGATTAAAACACTATATTGTCCAGGCTAGCATGTGGTGACCTGACCATGGCTCACCGTAGCCTGTAGCTCCTGGGCTCAAGTGATCCTCCCACCTCGGCCTCCCAAGTAGCTGGGACAAAAGGCACATGCCGCCATGTTCAGCTGACTTCTTAGTTCATACAGAATATTTTCTTTCTTTATATCCTTATTCTATAAGCTTTTTCTATTTCTCAAATTTTTTTTTTAGACTTAACTATTTTGTTAAAAACTAAGATACAAACACGCATATTAGCCTAGGCCAACATAGGGCCAGGTCATCAACATGTCACTAAGCAGCAGGAATTTTTCAACTCCATTATAATTTTATGGGATCACCATGGTTTGTCATTGACTGAAACTTTGCTATGTGGCATATGACTATAATCTCACAGAAAAACATGTAACAGGAGACAGAAAATAAGAAAATCAAGAGACCGGTCTAGGTGGTGTTGTGACATCTGAAAAACTGGCATTCCAGAAAGAAAACATGGAAAATGGAGAGTAAAAATTTTAAAGAAAATAGTCCAAAACGTCTCCCAGAAGCAAAGGATATGAGCTGGTTTGAGAGGGCCCAGTAACCAGAACAGAGTCCCATCGCTGTGACAATCTCTGAGACAGAAAGCAGACTCAAAAACAAAACAACAGGCCTCAAAAAAGGATCAGGAATCAGAACTGTGACAGATTCACCCACAGCAATACAGACAGAAGACAATTCCTTCAACATTCAGAGGAAGGAAAGATATCCACATCAAGATTCCTGATTAGCTATCAATCAAATGTGAGAAAAGAACAGATGTGGGCAGGTGCGGTGGCTCACACCTGGGGCACGGTGGCTCACACCTGTAATCACAGCACTTTGGGAGACTGAGGCGGGCGGACGCGAGGTCAAAAGATTGAGACCATCCTGGCTGACACAGTGAAATCCCATCTCTACTAAAAATACAAAAATTAGCCAGGCGTGGTGGCAGGTGCCTGTAGTCCCAGCTACTCAGGAGGCTGAGGCAGAAGAATCACTTGAACTCAGGAGGTGGAGGTTGCAATAAGCTGACATTGGGCCACTGCACTCCAGCCTGGCAACAGAGAAAGACTTGTCTCAAAAAAAGAACAAAGATTACTGTTATGCACACAAGCTTCTATGTGGGCCTCCTCCGCACTCCCCCAGGGAGTTACTGACCAGGAGCATCAACACCATGGGGGAATAAACTGAGGAGGCTGCCATGAGGTCCAAGGGGAGAGCCCAGGGTCCCAGGGTGCTGCTGAAGAGGGAGCCTGGGGAGGGTATGGCAGCAGGGGGAAGGAATCATGGAGGATTCCAGAAGCAATGTCCTCATCGATAAAGTACCCTGGTATATTTTAATGTATTGAGAGAATGTATTTCTGGAGGAGATTTTAGGGATGAATCAGGGATGAGTGATGATAGAGGAAACTAAATGTGAAAAAAGAAGACATCACTTCAGGGAAAGTAGAAAAATGTCTGAGAAGGAAATTGTAATATAGAACACCACACTGCTTAGCTGTGAGTGAAGTCAGAATTGTAACAGAGTAAACACTGAATGTTATCAGTCTAATCACACGTTATGAAAATAATATGCTAAATCTCAATCTTCCATAGTAAGAAGAGATAATGTCCAGAACTGAAAATTAACAAAACAGCAGCACAGACATGTTGTTTAGAAATATGAAAAATAGGACCGGGATATCTGTGTATGTCCTATGCAAACCTATTCAGATGTTTATGGCCAAGCTTAATTCACTGAAGCTCAGCAATTTTGGTGACAGACAAGTGAGTTCAGACAATCAATGAGTTTCTGACCAGCATCAAGTTCATCAAAATGTGCGCCTGGGAGAAACCTTGTACCAGCACTCCCCAAGATGTAAGGAGGAGGGAACAAAAATTACTGGAAAAAGCTGGATTTGTCCAAAGCAGAATCTTCACCGTGGCCCCTCATGTCCACCACAGCCATCGTGCTGACATTCTCCTGCCACATCCTCCTGAGACCCAAGATCACCGTGCCCACGGCATTTAGTGTGATTGCCATGTTTAATGTAATGAAGTTTGACATTGAAATTTTGCCCTCCTCAGTAAAAGCAATGGCTAAAGCCAATGTCTCTCTAAGAAGAATGCAGAAAATTCTCACAGATAAAAGCCCTCCATCTTACATCACCCAACCAGAAGACCCAAATACTGTCTGGCTTTTAGCAAATGCCACCTTGACATGGGAGCATGAAGCCAGCAGGAAAAGTGACACAAAGAAATTGCAGAACCTGAAGAGGCATTTATTCAAGAAACAGAGGTTGGAGGCAGTGAGTAGAGTCCGCCAGCCAAGGGAGCTGCTGGCCCAGAGGAGCAAAGTGGCATCCCCAAATCAGTTCTGCACAACATAAGCTTTGTGGTGACAAAGGGGAAGATCTTGGGAATATGTGGGAATGTGGGAAGTGGGAAGAGCTGCCTCCTTGCAGCTATACTAGGAGAGATGCAGCGGCAAAAAGAGGTGGTGGTGGTCAATGGAACTTTGGCTTACATTTCACAGAGCATGTGGATCTTTCATGGAAATGTGAGAAAAACATACTCTTTGGAGAAAAGTATGATCACAAAAGGTAACAGCACACAGTCCATGTCTGTGGCCGCCAGAAAGACCTGAGCAGGCTCCCCTTGGAGATCTGACTGAGATTGGGGAGTGGGGTGTCAGCCTCTCCAGGGTGTAGAGGCAGAGGATTAGCCTGGCTGGTGCCGTCTGCTCCCACTGTCAGTTCTACCTGCTGGATGACGCCCTGTCGGCCATGGACGCCCACTTGGGGAAGCATGTCTTTGGGAGCGCATTAAGACAGCACTCAGGGGGAAGACAATGGTCCTGGTGACCCACCAGCTGCATTTCTTAGAGTCTTGTGATGAAGTTATTTTATTAGAAAATGGAGAGATTTGTGAAAATGGAAGCCACAAGGAGTTAATGGAGGAGAGAGGGCGCTCCAAGGATCCCGAACACCTTTATAATGCAGCAATGGTGGAAGCCTTCAGGGAGAACCCTGCTGAAAGATGGGAAGATGCTGGTACAATTGTTCCTGTGCACCAGCTCATCCAGACTGAATCCCCCTGGGAAGGAACTGTGACCTGGAAAACATGTCACATGTATGTAAGGCTTCTGGAGGGCACCCCCCTTCTCTTGTCATGTGTTCCTCTTCCTCCTGATAGGCAGCTCTGCATTCAGTAACTTGTGGCTGGGTCTCTGGTTGGACAAGGGCTCACGGATAACCTGTGGGCCCCAAGGCAACAGGACCATGTGTGAGGTTGGCACAGTGCTGGCGGACATCAGGCAGCATGTGTACCCGTGGGTGTA